ACAGGTGCATCCAGGAGGATGCTACGCAAACAGCCGCGCTCAGTGAAAATGTGTAAGTCTTCACACAGTGTAGATGATCGCAGAGTTCACGGTGATCGCTTTCCAGGGCACGTTAATAGTGCGTGCATCCGAAGCAAAGAGTTGTGACTGAAAGGAGAGGAGTCATTAGGCCACTCGACTGATAAAAAGAGTCACGAAGTACTCGATTTTCTTGAAAAGAGAAGGGAGGTCTTTTCTTTGAAAAGTGAACTAGAGCCTTGCTTGATCCATTTAATGATCCCGTCCAGCACATATATAGGAATTGAGTGTCATGTATATAAATCTTCCAAGAATATAAATGTGAATACAAAAATAAATATTTTTTTCAACGCCCCAAAAATTAAAATATTAGCATCTCCAATGCAATGCCCTCTGCATGTATGTGTGTGAAGAGAGGGAGGGAGGGAGAGAGGGAGGGAGGTGAAATCTGTAAAATTTAGTTGAAAACAAGCATGACATTTTTACTGTAACCCATAATCAAGCCAACAAAGAAGGATTTAAACTGCAGTTACAGAAAAATCATTTGAGATTGAATTATTGCATCTTGAAAACTAAATTTACATACAAAAATAAACTTGATCTCTTCTAGTTAGGAAAAGATGAGTGCAGCAGGGAACCTCTGAGAATTATTGATTGAGCGGTTTAGGCTTCTATGGCTGGGAAGGAGAAGGTGAAGATGGAGGTTTGAAGTCTGGATACTGCAGAAAAAACAAAAGTCTACATAAATATATATGAAAAGGTACATTTTACGATTAAAATTTAAAATAGTGATATTTTGGACGTAATATAAAATATTTCAGCAGCATAAATGTAAGAAAGTGAAGTTTTAGTGTTAGATAGGTAAATATAAAGGAACTGGGTTGTATGTATGTAAATGCCCCATACATAACATTCGATTCCCATGTATTTACATATCTAACACTGATACTTCAATTTTTACATATATGCCACCATATTTATGCATGGAAAGTGCATTTCACTTTTCTAAGGTTAAAATAGTAGTACTTTAGATGTGATATGAAAGATTTGTGCGATATAAATGTAAAATGTAGAGATTAAGGTTTAGAGGTTAGATATGTAAATACATAGGAATGCAGTGGTATGTATGTAAATGCCCCAAAAATAAAATGAAATCAAATAGAAAGGAGAGAGATACATATGGATAAGGTGAAAGAGGCGTCGGCTTGCCGGGTTCCCCGAGCTCGGCTCTGGGAACAGAATTGACTTCCAGAGCTGGTTCTGCTTCAACATTCTGTTCTGTAGTAGCAGGAGATTCTGCTGGAGCTGGGAGACTGGCTTTGGATGTATCTTGTATTGGTAGAAGAGCTTTACCAATCATCTGAGAATATTTAGATCAGTGTCAGCAAAGTAAATGATTTCTTTCAAGTGCATAATTTAAACAAAAATATTTACATACAAACCATTCAATTCTTACATATTTAACACAAAACTTTACTTTTTACATTGATACCACCCAAATTTTTCATATAACATAAAAAAATATCACCATTTTAACTTTTAAGAGATGAAATACATCTTCTCATGAATAGGTGAGCTGGAATGTAAAAATTTAAGTTTAGATATTAGATATGTAAAAACATAAGAATTGAGTGGTATGTAAATCTTCCTGTAAGAGAAAATGAAATGAAAAATTAAGTTTAGATCTCATAGAAAGAGGATCAGCTTTTTACTTTGCTCTGTATTTAAACACAGGGCATAATTTATGTCTCATGGAAGTCATTCATATGCTTTACTTCATCATAAATATTGGAAGCAACTAGGTTGCCAATTCAACATAATAAAATTCCTCTATTTTTTACAAATATTTCAAATATTTCAAATACTCTTCCAGATATTTTAAATACACTGCATTTCAATTACAATGCATGTCTTTTTCAGCAAATCAAACAGCCCACCAATCTTCTTTAGGTTACGTTAAATAGAATTTATCAAATCCGATAAATCCGGATTCACGAAAACCAGGGTGCGAAGGAGGAGCATGTGAGAGATGAAAGAATAAATCCTCCTCGCAATAGGCTTTTACTAAATCCGGATTTACATTGTAAAAGAGATGGAACGCAAGGGAAAAAGAAACGGAATGCGCAAAAATTCAATTTAACGGAGCAATAGATCTAATTCTAATTTTTTTAAGTTTAATCCATGGCTAAATCTACCAAACACCTCCTTAACATCCAACAAAGTATCTTCAATTAGTTTATGTACATTCATACAAATCAGTGAGTCATATGAGACGAGCAATGAAAGGTCAAAGAAGGGTCAAATCACTTCGTAGATAAAGGCTGAACATCCACATAATTTGTACATAAATTTTAAGTAATTACTTCACATCAGGACCCTATGGTCTGTACGAAAAGAAGATAATTAAGGAAATAAATATGGGCTAACTAAGCCTGCTCGGCATCCTACTCATCAGCAGAAGGTCCATAAAAGTGAGATAAACTTAGTGGAATAATATGAACATAATAACAGTAGAGAAACACCAAAATGACAAAAATAAAAGATTAACTTTAATAAAATTAGATCTCTCATGCTAATTTGATCGACATAGTGAGTCACAAGTGAGTCAAGCACACTCGCAAACTTGTTTAGTTGTCTACCAATATATAATTCTTTGTTGCCGAGTCATAAACACTGTAAAATATTAGAAAGCATCATGTGGTTCTTCATATAAATCAGATAGCTCCATCCCATACAAACTTGGGAGCCATTTGGGATCATTTGGTTTTTATTTTTGTTTAATTGTGTTTATGTTTCGATTTGAAGCAAAACATGTTTAGATATTTGATTAAGATATTGTTGATTCTTTGAAAACACTCAAAACACCTAAAAGTCAATTTGAGTGTTTTCAAAAACCTTTTTAATTGTTTTTATAAAATAAAAAAAAAATAAAAAACATAAAAAACAAACATATTTTTAAAACAAAGGAGAAAATAAAAATGGAAATAAAAAATAAAATTGATCCCAAAAAAGCCACAAACATATTTTTAAAACAAAGGAGAAAATAAAAAATAAAATTGATCCCAAAAAAGCACTTATTGACCCCAAATTTAAACAATCACCGATCAAATTATCACTCATTGGCCAAATCTTCAACGGTCCTAGGTACCATAGCTTCAATTTTCCTACTTAAAATTATTAACTCCATGGGGTTCAACTTGAGCAATAGTTATTCGCTAAGTTCGAAGTTAATGTCTCAAAGCTATCGAGCATGGTGTTTACATGGCCAGTCTTAAGTTGCTTGGAGTATTTCCAAAGTTTTGTTGATTAGTTGATATATAACAAAAGCTTATTTGCCTAGCTCAACCCAACACAAGGGAGACTTGAAATAGTTCTCTTCATCACATCTAGCTCCTTGATTATTTAACTAATAGTGGCCCAATCTCAAAATTATCTTAAAGAAAATCATGGCACATTCTAGTTGGTCGTGTTGGTAGAGCAACCTCTCTGAAGGTCGTAAGTCCTCTCAGGTTACGGGTTTGAATGCCCATTTTTAGGGTGCAATACTCGAATATTTAACACACCTAGGTATATATTCTTATTAAGCTCCTAGTAGTTCATATGCCATCACCTGACATTATGCCACTCGACAAACTAACAAGTACCCCTAAGAGGAAACTTAGGGCAAATGAATCATTTGTCAAGTAGATCTTGTAACCATTCCTTCAACTCCTAAAGTTCAACCAAAGCCACTGGGTAAGGAGCTCTAAAAAAATGTGTTCCTTGATTCTAAATCTATGGTGAACTTTTTCTCTTAGTCATGCAATAAATCTACTTGGTCATCAGGGGAATGCATTATGTTTTAAAAAAAGTACAACTCTTTGCTAGGCATAATTTCTCTTCCCATCATCTAGCATGTACAAGATATACAATTAGTGTAAAGTATGGTTAGCATCCCATGGAAAATCATTCCAGGAGCTTGCATAGCCAACATCATAGGTAGAATCCCCCGATTCTCTGCTAAGAGAGTAAGATTAAGTTGTTCGAGATCCTATGTTTTACCTTTACTTTTGGCAATAAATGATTGGAATATGTTGAGTCAACAAATCAGTCCTAAGTATCACATCAAAATCAACTAATGAAAATGCAATTAATAAGGAAATGATCTATGCTTAAAATGCAAGTTTACATGCACATATGAGGAAACCTTGACATCTCTTGACATCTGGGTGATCATTTTGACTTCCAAGGTACTAGACTCAGATCCTACATGCCAACTCGACTATGAATAAACATGATGTGTTTGAATCAAACAAAATAAGCAAAAGGTACGAAGTACAGTGTAGCTATCACAAAGTACCAATTCTACTTCACTTATTAAAAATTTAATGTGAAGGTTCAGGATTAGGTTGATCAATCTTATCGATAGATGAACTGCTTTGTTATGCAGGTCAACTAACGCCCATCTTTGTTAACAAGTCAACATTTTAGATTGAAATAGATACTCCAATTGGAACTAGGTTGGGACTTCTCAGCTTCTTTTATGGGCAATCTCAAGCTATATGTCCCAAATCCTTGCAAAGATAGACTTGTGATGTCTTAATAAAATAGGGTTTGTCATTTCTCCACGAAAATTTCAAGCAGAGAGTACAAATGAACTGTATTGCATAACCATAATTTAATCTATACTGCTAGAGCCTTCACATTAATGACAAGTATTGTATTCACCATATCATATCCTAGAGAGGTATACTTGCCTCTCTTATCTAACTGGCCACTTGATTGATATGAATTTAAGTAGTTCGTGAATGCTTAAGATGTTTAGAGGTGATCCTGACTCCAATAGGATTGTAAGTCCTTATAAAGTAAGTTCAACCCTTATAGTCATAACTACTCATTTTCTCTCAATTCCATGAGTATCATCCCATTATTTAATAAGAATGAGTCCTATCTTCACTTTTTTTACATGAATAGAATCATAGGATTCCATGTTTGTTTCCTTCTCTAGAGGCAAGTATAACCATAATTATTGCGATTAAACTTTTAACTTGATTATCTTTATTTAAATAATATGCTACATCATTTTGCTCATTTGATCGAACTGAGATCACTATATGTGTGTGTGTGTGTGTGTGTGTGGTGTTGGTAGAGAGGTCTCTTTAAAGATCATAAGTTTCCTCGGGTCATAGGTTCGAATTCCCCTCTGACCAGTTTTCCGGTAGTGAGGGTGGTCCTTGAATATATATATATATAATCAATTTCATTCATATTATCTTATGACATACTATATAATATAATATATGTATATTTAAATAGTATATTATATCTTTATTAAAAGAAGACCTAACATTCAAACATAGACTAATTAAAAAAGAGTATATAAATCATTAGATATCAATAACTATTAATGCAATTGATTGAGAAAAAGAAAACTACTACTATAAATCTAAGAGTAAGAACCTAGATGAAGATTTATTTGTTCTTGAATTTGTTTTGGCGTCGACTCTTCTAAAATATTAATGCAATTGATTGAGAAAAAGAAAACTACTAAACCCAATCTAAGAGTAAGAACCTAGATGAAGATTTATTTGTTCTTGAATTTGTTTTGGCGTCGACTCTTCTAAAATTGATTCTTAAAATAAGCATGGGTATTGATATTACTAAAGTTAATTAATTATTATTTTAATCAACTATTAATTTTACATCATTTAAGTATTAAATTTTCATACTTTCTAGCATAATTAATATGATTTACAGGATAATATAAATCATTTTAATATATAATAAATATCTAAAAACAACCCTAACCTTTTTTTTGTTGCCAACACCCGCGAACTTGTCTTCTCCTCTACACATGATGCTCTCAAGTTGCAAGTTGTTTCCATCTCTGTTAGTTTTTTGCCACGTGTAAGCCATCCAATGAGAAGGTTACACATATTATAGCCAACCTTCAAGTATCTTGTGAGTGAATGCATAGTGACTATCACCTCACCTAATCTACATACACATATAAGGGATGGGATGGCAGATGATGGTGAATGAAGATATGTTATGATTGGATCTTGGCCATGGTGAAATAATGAAAGCCAAGTATAGAGGTGAGCAATTGAATGGTAGGGATAGAAGATACAAGTCATAAATTATTAAAACAAAAGAAAAAGAAGAGTACAACAATGAAAAGAAAATTGCATTCACCTATATTTATTAAAATAAAATATAAACATTATTCCATAGGCAACTCACCCATCCACACCCTCCATGCAGTGTCAAATCATTTACATGATTCCAAATTTATGCTATTTTCTAAAATAATAGTATCACATATATATAGCTAGCCATTAGTAATTATATAAATAAAATATATCAATAAAATTTCATGGA